ATACAACCAAAAAACGTTATAATAATAATAATAATAATAATAATAATAATAATAACGGGTTTTAGAATTTAAAATCCGTTTATAACGAAATTACTAGCATTACATATGTAAACTCGATAAGTCGGTTTTGGCCTAACTCGGCCAAAAAGTTTCTCCCCTTATTTTTACTTTTTAAAAAGATTCGATAAGTCGGGTCGATCTATATAAAGTCGTGATAAGCGCCAAGTCAGTCAATCGCTTAGCCAAGTATAATTAAATGAATTCACGATAAGTCGGTCTCACGTGATATTTCATTATGTGAAGGGTCATCATTACTATTTTAGTAATCTTTTATTTGTAATATTAGCAAAATGATTATTTGTAATAAAATATCTGATGTAAGAGAACTTTTTTCGCTTTAATCATTTGATGATTTATCATGAATAGTGCATTAATATTTTATTATCTCAGCAGTTGTATCATCGATTGTATCATTTATTTATCATAAATAATGCATTAATATATTACTATCTTATCAGTTATTTTTATATCATCGCTTATATCATTGATTATCTAGTGTGAAGAAAATACATTTGTATTCCTATTAAATCATATTACGTTCAAAAGTATGTATAAAAAGATTGATTCGCAATCTTCTAATAAAAGATAGATAAATATTTTAAATTTAAAAAATCACGTGAAATTCAATAACTCGGTCACAGGGATCCACCCCCGATATGACGACTTATTATTATTATTATTATATACATATATGTATATACAACGAATTTAATTTTAAACTGTTAAGGTTACACATCGTTGTTGGCATGCAGGGGGAAAATCTGATATTATTTTTCCTATCATTATTTGATTTTATTTTGATCAAGATAGATAATAATAATCTTTCGTTTCACACTTAAAAAATTATATATTTATTATCGGTATATTAATATAAATTTTTCCATAAATAATTTTCACTTTGTTAATTAATATATACATTTATAAATGTCACTTTTATTAAAGTCTTTTCGTATTAATAATAATCAAATTATATTATTTTCTTCCACTATTAGATTTGAATCAATAAAATTTAATAGGTCAATGAAAAGAAACACAAGTTCTTCGACAACATATAATAAAAAACATTTAATTCCTACTTCTGGAACATATCCCAAAGGATTTAAAGCAACAGGTTTACATTGTGGCATTAAAAAAAATGG